CCCTTCAACAGAACATCTGGGGAAGCAGAGCATCCTTCTTCACAGTCTTTGTAGCCTAAAGTAATGTGAGGCTGGTGGCAAAGGCTTCAGCATACTGGCTACATGATGCAGCTGCCACACCTTGGGCTGAATGCCTTCTGCAAAGAGTCCATGGCCACAGTCCACTTCGTGTCCAGCCTGGCCTGGCCTGGAAGAGAAATCGATTACTCTGACTTGTGCTGGTGGTAGGAGGTTGCTCACAGCCAAAGAGCAGAGTTGTTTCTTGAACCCTGAACTCTTGGGGCCTGAGGATTCATTTTCCCTCTTGCCTGCCTTCAGGACGTCGAAGCTAGGTAGAAATCCGCCTCCGTTTTTAGCAGCTCCAGAGGCAGGTCCTCAACAACTTGTGGTAGTCTGTTCTACAGTTTCTGAAAACCCTTGCCAAGGTCAAATAGAAAACAGGCCCTTGTAACTCAGAGTTTCTAAAAGCCACACTTGACAAACTGAGCAGTGAGTCAAGCAATAGGAAAAATAAAGTCAGAGATCGCCGTGCCTCTGGAATGACGGAGCATGGGGTCAGCAGAGGCTGAGGGAGTGGACCGTAAAGGAGGTGCAGAGGCCAGCTTCCTGGAGAGTGTGCTCTGGGGCTCGAACTTGGCGAACTGAGGGTCTCTGTCATGCACGAGACCATCAAACGCGGGACGCACAAAGGAGCATTTGTGCTGTGCCCCGAGAATAAACTCGAATGAGGGTATTCACAAGGAATGATTGTCATCAAGGGCTTGTCATTGACGTTTCCCCCTTTCTTGGTGCCTAGAATGGATACCCCTGGAGATGGCATACTGTGCTCAGACACCAAGGGCATCACTGAACACCAAGGAGGTATGTTGGGAGGAAGGAGTGGGAAGACGAAGAGGTACCAGGCAGAAAGAATTAGGATAAAAATATATGCTTGCTGTAGGTAAGGAGACAGAGCTCATAGTTAGGTTATGGGAACTGTTTTATCATATTAAAAAAAAATGATGTTAACCATTCTAACATTTACTGAGTGGCTCCCGGGCGGCAGGTATGAAGCTGGGTCATAGGGCATAATGGTACGTTCTCCAGAGGTATGAACAGCTTATTGACGGATATCAGTGCGAGCAACCCACTGTGAAAGGGCCCGGAGGGTACTAAGAGAAGCAGGTAGCTGATGCTAACGGGGCAGGAACACTCGCTATGCCAAGAGAGACAGAGGACTTAGAACAGCAGAGAGACATTATGGCGCTTCTAAGGACTTTCTCTTGTGCTCCACGGAGCGGTCCGTTGGCATTTGCAGACCGAATATTCATGGGTGAAAATAGTCTCCGCCGAGTGATCTCCTTTTTATGAGGTAATTGCTGAGACACAAACTTGAATGGCCTGGTACAAGGCCGGAGAGGACTTGCCAGCCCCATAGCTCGTGAATGGACCAAGCCCAACACCTGGCATTCATGTCCTGGCACAATTTAGCTCTTCTTGTCTCCTTGACATCTATGTAGTAATTCTATAGTGACTAACTTTTTTTTTTTTCTTTTTTCTTTGCAGAGTCAGGGAAATATGGAGTTAATAAGGTACAGATGTAATGAAGTAAGGAGTTTATTTTAATGGCAACATTTATTTAAGTCACTTTAGAAATTACCTTGGTCCCATATTTATAGAACCATTAAGAGTCTAAAAGGATCCCTTACATTTTTCACACTTTACTGCTTTTTATAGTGGAAATAATATGTCATGGTGACATTCATGATTTTGGAGACTCATGAAGGTCATGGATGAACTCTTTGAGAATGTCAAGGGTCCAAATCTGTGAATAATGAGTTGTATTTTATTGGCACTCTACTGGATATGACAAGGTCTCATTTGAAGTTTGGAAAGAAGGTATATTCTCCTTTATATGCTTTTCCCTAGACATTGGAGAAGGCTGCCATCGTACTGCCCTGTTTATGAAGGTTTAGCATGTGCTACCAGAAGATGAAGGATCATATTTATCCACAAAATTGCAGCCTGACAAGTAACTCACACCAACAAAAATTAACTAAATTCCCCCAGCTGAGTGCTTTTCTCTCGGTCTTATTTCCTGGAACCTAATAACCACTGAAACTCAAACTCTGGCCCCTTCCCCAAAATACCTTCCAAGTACCTCAAACGTAGCATGACAATTATACAACCTCAATCTGCTTTCAATTCTGTCTTCTTGTTCTGACTATTAGAATCAAATGTATTTATTGCTGAAGCCAGGAAATTCAGAGTTGGCCAGACTCTCTCCCCAACATCTAATCAGTTACCAAGTAAATCGATTTTACCTCTTAGACGACTCTCAAATGCTGCCAGGCCTCTCTGCCCCATGGCACTGCCCTAGCTCAGGGCCAGATCATCTGTCATCACAATACCTTGCCACCCTGCCTCTAAGCTGTCCTTGCTCTATCCTCCAACAAGATACCGAGTAATTTTTCTCAAAATGCAAATGTTGCACTCATTGGCTTCCACGTAAGATCAAGATACGGTCCATCAATAACTGATTCCTGGCCAGTGACTCAGATGCCCACGGTCTGCACATAACAGAGAGATGCGTTGACTGGGAGCTGTTTATCTCCCTGAACGTGCTGTGTTCTTTCAAACCTCAACGCATTTTGCATTTGCCCAAGACTTGTCCTGCGCTGCCTGGAAACTTCCTCTTCAAGAGCTCTGTCAGCGTCTTCCGGATCCAATTCAAATGTCACTAGCCCAAGACAGCCTCCTGTACATCACTCAGGGGCCATCCTGCTCGGTTCCCACAGTATGGGGTATACATCACTGTGAAAGCACGAGTCGCGGTTTACACGAACAACTTGCTAACAGGTTTATCTCCAGTGACCCACGAGCTCCCTTACTTGAATCCTAGTACTTAGCACAATGCTGGGCTCCCGCCAGGAAGTCAGTCAGCGTTTCCTGAATGAAAGGACCAGTGATTGAGATCTGTAGCTACGTGCGAGAATGACAGAAGCATGTCCTCAAAGGGCGAAACCAGCTTTTTTGTTAACTATAAAGTGAACCAAGGTGCCAGAAAAGTTAAAACAAGAATGAAGAGTGCTTTTAGATCTCAACCGGTTTTTAAATTACTCATCACATCTGTCCTAGCTAAAGACTATCTCTAGCGAGTGTTTCACACTTGGGCACCAGATCCTGCAAATGTTCGATATCACAGAAGAAATACTTAAGGAGAAGTTATTGGCTTCTCAATGTAAAAAAGATGCCCCTTAAGAGTAAGAGCGTTTACTAAGCAGTGTTTTCCGTTTGGTACATTAGACCACAATATCAGACCCACGATTTAGGTCAGACTGTACCCAATGTCCAGTATCCGTGGTGGCCGTTTCCACGGCACAAGAACGGGTCCCTGAGACTCCAGGCTTTCTATGAGGTAGGTGGCTTACTACAAACAGGTATCCTGGACTTGTGTCATTAAGCAGTCACTATTTCAGTCCAGCCTGGTTCCAAAAACGTTCTCAAGTTCCCCTTGTACTTAGCAGGTCACAGGTTACCTTGGGTAACCTCGGGAAGGCTGCTAAGCACTCTAATCCAGCTAGATGCTCGTGCTGGGCACAACCTGGCTCTAGGATGCAGCTACATTCACAACACGGTGTCTGGGGTAAGTCCACCTGTGCTCTAATTCCCCAGTGTGTGGGATTTTGCTGAAAGAGCAATTTCCAAGAAGGAAAAGATTTGGATGAAGGCAGGCGATGAGTAAAAAGCTCAGCTGGCGCTACAGCCCCCAACTCCTGGCATTTTGGTGACGTGGTGTTAGGGCACGGAGGGTTTCTTTTGGGCACCCTCCCTACATGTGGTGGTGGAAAGAAAAGCTCCCAGAGCAAACCCTGTCGGACAAAGCCGTAAATCCACCGCCTTTCGAGCGACTGCTGGAGGCTTCCTCAAGGTAGGGTCCCCGGGGAGCTCAAGCCGAACTCCGATCTAGCAGACCGCGTTACAAATCCCCTCCAGCCTGGGATACAGCCGCTCCCCTGCCCCTCGGCTGCCCCAGACCGTCACTGCCGGGTCGCCACCAGACTCGCGAGCGTGGCGCCCTCCGCGGCCCCCCTCGGGCGGGGCCGGACCCCCAGCCCCCACGCCCACCAGGGCGCCACCTACCGCAGCCCCGCCCCGCGCCGGGCCCACGTGCAGGGCCCCACCCCGGCGCCCGCGGCCCTTTAAACACCCCCACCCTACACATCACCGCCCCCCCCCCCCGCCACCCGGACGGCAGCCGGAGAGGGACAAAACTCATGGCGTACAGCCAGTGTCCTCCGCGGATCACGTCCCGGGCCGCCCGGCGCGGGGGGCCCTCCACCCGCGGTCGCAGCCCCCTGGCGCCCCCCAACCCCCAGCGGCCAGGCAGGGGAGTGCGGGGCGGGGCCGGCGGCCGTGCGGGTCTCCGCCGCCGCCGCCGCCTCCGCCTGCCGCTCGGGCGGCCCGCTCGCCCGCCGCTGGGTGCGCTGCACGCGGGGGGCAGCCGCGGTGCAGAGGTTCATGCAGCGGCGGCGGCGGCGGCGGCTGCTGCTGCTGCTGCTGCTGCCGCCGCGGAGGCAGACAGACCCGGCGCTGCCGCCGCCGCCGCCCTCCCCCGGCTCCATGCCGCCGCCGCCGCCTCCTCCTCCTCTCCGGCGAGGGGCGGGGGGCTCCGGCCCCGGGTGGGCACCGCTCGGCGCAGCGCCGCTCCCCGCCCCGGCCTCGGCGGGGGCGCCCGCCGCCTCCTAGGAGCGCACGCTCCGCGCGCCCTGCCAGAGAGAGGGGGCGGGCGTGGGCGGGGGCCGGCGCGCGGGCGTCGGGGCGGCGGGGACCCCGCGCGGCGGCCGGAGGAGGGGGCTTCCCCGGAGGATGCCCGGCGGCGGCTCCCCGCTCCCAGGCGCGAGCTGAGCCGGACCGGGAGCGGGAGGCGCGTCGCCATGCCGGCGTGACGGGCGCCCCCGGCTGCCCGCGCGGGCCCCCGCGCTGCCCCACGCCGCGCCGCGCCGGCGCCGGGCGGCAGGATGGGCTGTATCCAAAGCATCACCTGCAAGGCGCGGATCCGGCGCGAGAACATCGTGGTGTACGATGTGTGCGCCACCATCGACCAGTGCCCCACGCGCATCGAGGAGACCTCGCCCATCGTCCTGCGCTACAAGACCCCCTACTTCAAAGCCTCGGCCCGCGTGGTCATGCCCCCCATCCCCCGCCACGAGACCTGGGTGGTGGGCTGGATCCAGGCGTGCAACCAGATGGAGTTCTTCAACACCTACAGCGACCTGGGCATGTAAGCGACTGGCGGCGCGGAGCCTGAGCCGCGTCCCGGGCCCCGGCTCTCCTCCCCGCCCGACCCTCCCGCTCAGCTCCTTCTTAGCGCTCTCCCCATCCTCTTTCTAAACCTTCCTCCCGCCTCCTCTTCCACCTCCCTCCTCCCTGCGCTTTTGTTTCAGTGACAGGGCGGGTGTAGGGAGGCTCCTCGCGGAGGCATGTTCTGGTGGTTTGCTTCTGACTCCCCGTGAACGCGTGGAGGACGGCGCGGGGCGGCGAGAACGCGACGAGGAGGGTTCGAGAGCCGAGCGTGGGGGTGGCTGGCGAGTGCCCTGGGAGTTCCGGGGCGCCGTCTGGGCTTGGTGGGGGGCTTCCCGGGAAGAGTTTGGGGGGACCTGTGGAGAGAGGAGCGGAGCGGAGCGCCGGGGGCGCACGGGCTGTGCCGCGCGTCCTTTGGAAAAGCCCGAGCGGGCTTGGAGGAGAAGGTCCCGGGCGTCCGAGCGGGACTTGCTGGCTCCGCCCTTGTGCCCTCGACCGTCGGGTCTGAGCCCTTGTGCCCCAGGCCGGGGAGCCTGCAGGCATTCACATTCGCCGCCGCAGACCGGGCAGGGCGGCCTCTCCGGCTCGGCGCCCTCTGGACGAGTTGTGCGGCGGTGGGGAGCACCTCGCGCGAGCAGCCTGGGGCCGGCGTGGCGCGCTGTTTCCCTGGAGCTCCTTGCAAAGTACAGGTCCCCTGGCTGTCCAGGGTCCTTACTTAACTCACAACTTCACTCACTGCGGCGCTGGAAGGGATTCCCTAGCGCCCACCCGCGAATCCCGTCGGCGAGCGGGGAGCTCTCCAACTTCCTTCAGCAGCGCCGCTCGGTGCGCGCGGGGCTGGGCGGCTGCGGGGAGACCCGGGCCCGCGGCCGCCGCAGCCAGGAGCCCACCGCCTGCCCCAGCGGCGCGGGCCGCGGGCTGTCGCGTCCAAGACTTTTTAGTCGCCCGGTGTTCTCATCCTCCCTGCCCGCTCCCTTGCGGGAGCAGAGCCTGAGCAGTTGGCGGCTTCAGCGGCGACAGGTTTGGGGCCTGCATCCTACCTGTGTGACCGGGTTGGTCTCGAGCACCCTCCCTGCAGCCTGTAGAGAAACCCGTTTCTGGACATTCGGCCTCGTGCCATTTATCACCCGGAGACTTTAGAGCTCCCGCGCGGTTCATCTCTTGAATTTTGATATGGGGCGAGCGTGTTTCTATCTCGAAAGGTCAAACTATCTTTCCAACGGCAGTTTGCAGGCTTTTTCTTGCACTCCGGGAGCATGTAAATTAACACTAGTCATGGGTGCTGAAAGAAAATTTGACAGGTCGTTTTGTGCCCCTCACCTTCGCCTCAGAGTTTGAACTTTTTAAGCACAGGATCTCAGTGCCGGAGAAAGCTCATTCCGAGTGAAGATGGATGAGAGCCTAGTTTCTTCCTGTAATGCCTCTGCTCACTGTGCCTCTGGCTGGATGTAAGAAATGGGGGGGGGGGGCATCTTATTTGGGGTGGATCATGCCACTTAAAACCAGGCACACCCTCAAAAAGATGATTATATCTGAATACACGGGTCTCTTAAAGTGGTTTTTGTAGAAGCTGGTTCCGGCAAAGTCAGAGAAAGCCCCAGACCAGAGGCCTTGTCTTTTGTCTCCCTCCTTTGGCTCTGATGGCAGTGTGCTCCTTGGCCGGAGCTGGGAAGGAGGGGGGGGGGCAGTAATTGCAGTCTGGGGCCTCTGTAGAGGAAGCTGGGAGGGACTGAACAGAAACAGCCTCACTTTACCCCCAGGCCTCTCTGTGGCTGCACATCTCTCATGAATCAGTACATCAGAGGCAAACAAACAATTTCTTTCCACAAAAGAAAATATATTCTGCCTCAGGGAAAGCCAAAGTGAGCTATAAACAGACATAGTAGATGAACTTCCTTGGGTCTGTAGGAGGGTGTGCCCACCACAGGGCCAACTGTGATGGGGACAAACCGGTGTTGGGTCTGAGGGACACATATTCCCCGACCTTTCCTTACCGAATTCTTGCCTCTGGGACCTGGAACAAAGTTTTGCTTTGAAGCTGCCACTGTCGGTATTTTACGATTCTTGGTGATCGTCTTGATGCAGGGGAACTGTCACGCCCGCAAGAAATCGTGAAGCATATTATTAGAGATCTGTGCCCAGAGTCTACCTGTCTTCATGGCCGCGATGACTGCTGTGTGTTTAAGGGTCCTTTGGAGCCCAGATTTGATTGAACTGGTCTCCACAAAATGTTTATGACCCGAAAACTTAGCCAGTGCAAACTTTTTAATGGGACCTCATATCACAAGAAAGTCATCACAGCCTATTAGTTATTATCCACTTTAGCCAGTATCTCGAGTTGGGGGGGTGGGGTGGAGGGCACTGCACCGCAGGCTGCATTTTTCACCCCTGTGCGATGCTCTTGTTCCATGAAGCATGATATGATCAGAGGGTTTAGGTTAGAAAGCTGCCTTTTCAACATTATAAAAAGGACCACCGGAGGAAATCCACAATTGAAAATGGCAAGAAACTTCTAGTGACAGGCTCAAAAAGAAAACACGGGCTTTTGTGGTTTAGGGTTTCAACATTTCCAAAGGGGAGTAGGTTTCAGAAGGCCCATTTGAAATCCTTGATGATATTGATGGCCAGAGCTTCATGTGAACTTGAACTCAGGTGACTTGGAACGTCTTTCTGCGATCACATAGAGCCCAGGCTGGAGAATATACATTTGTCCCCTATTTATGTGTCCTTTGGCCCTGGTGAACCCCACTAATGCAGCCCTGGGGGGACAGCCATACGTCTTCCTCTTTCAGGGATGAAGGGCCTCTGGCTTTTCTCAGTGGGCCCAGCCCATCAGCAAACCAATAATAACCAAGCGCCTCCCAGGCAAGGGCCCCAGCAAAGAAAGAAAGGACCAGCATATAGCTTCACTGTTCCTCAGTAGGACCGAAGGGCAGGGCGAAGTCAGAACAAGCGAGCGCTCCCAGGCAGTGTCCTGTCGGAGAAATGCTGGAGACGGGAGTGGGAAGGCAGGCAGAGTGCTCTGGACGCAGGACCAGAGCTGGATGTGAGGAACGGGTAAGGTTGAGCTAGGCGAGGAGGGGGCTAATTCTCAAGGGAGAAGAACAGCAAAGACACGGAGTCGGGAAATTAGAAGTTGTTCTAAGGGGGCATAAGTAGGCTTGGGGAGGGGAGCTTTGAGGTAGGAGAGCAGTGGGAGATGAGGTCCAAAAGCAGGCTGGGGTCTGTTGGGGAAGGCCTCGAACAAGGCGATCCGGAAGAGAGAAGGTTGAGATCAGGTCATCGGAACCAAGACCCACCGTGGGGAGGCTCTTCCCACTTCCTTCAGCCCCCTGGGGCATGCGGGAGCTTTTTAAGAGAGACACACAAATCTCTGTGATGGAACTGTTTTTAATGCTAGGGTGCGACACCCAAGAGGTTTCCTGAGTGAGGTTTGAACAAAGAATGGGGCTCATGTGTCAAGGATGGGTGAGGTGAGGCTGAGGTCAAGGGGAGAGCCAGCCACCACCCTCCCCACTCTCTCTGAGCCCGTGTGAGGCATCCTCCGGGATGTAAGGGAGCTCTGGTCCACCCGGGTGAAACTTGAGGCAATCGTAGCTCACTCCTGCCTCTCTCTACTCTTTCTTCAGAGCCAACATTAATGAGAATTTGACTCCACCTACCCACCTTGGTCGTCTGTTCATTTCAACCTAAGCTGGTTTCTATCCATTGCAGAATCGTTCTTGCTCAGTTTGCAGTGTCCATGTTACCGATCCAGCAGACACTGTAGAGAGACACTCACTTTTTCAGCACTATTCCACACAGTTGACGGCTCCCTCCATCTTTAATTACTCCCATCTTTTAGCCTTATGCTATTTTTCCAGCTGTTTCTGTGCCTTACCTCAAAGTACAGTTCATCAGGACATTACTCATTCGATCCTCTCCCTGGGTAATTTTATCCATCCTAATGGCAGCAGACTCTGTGTGTGATATGCGGTCACCTGTGGTACTGGTGTGTGTGTCTAATGTAGTTTCCACTAGGCTGTCTGAAAGGCATCTCAAATTTAATGGATCTAAACTGGAACACACACACTCTCTCTCTTTTTAATGTTTATTTAATTTGAGAGGAGACAGAGAATCCCAAGCAGGCTCCACACTCAGCACAGAGCCCAACGTAGGGCCTGATCCTACCATGGCGAGATCACAACCTGAGCTAGTATCTAGAGTTGGATGCTTAACCAACTGAGCCACCCAGGCGCCCCCCCAAACCAGAACTCCTGATTGCCACTACAGCTCCCTCCCCAAATCTGCATCTCCACCATCCTTCCTCCATCGTGGTAACCCCCCTGCCCCCAGCCCCTGAGCTGCTCAGGCTGAAACATCTGTATGTCATGCTAGATATTTTCCTATGTTTCCAGTCCATCATCCAAGAGAGCTTTGCAATCCAGCCACCTATCTGCGTCCACTCATACCCTCATGGGACAGGTCACTGCCAACTATCATCTGTTCCAACAGAGGATTTCTAGACAAACTTACCACCTCCATTCTTGCCGCCCCCCCAACTCCAGTCTCTTCCCCACACAGCAGCCAAGTGATATTTTTGAAATGTAAATGTTATCACTTTCCTGCTTAAACTTTTTTTTTTTTTTTTTTTTTTTTTACTGATAATGCATTGCAATCAGAATACAGTTTGAATTTGTATCCAAATACAAGGGACATTCTCTTCCTTGGTCTCTGAATTTCTGTCCTCAAGCTGCGCTGGCCTGTTTCCATTTCTTCAAAAAACCCAGCTTCACCCAGTTCAGAACTTTGCCTGTGCTGCTCTGTGTCTGACATCCTCACGTTGCTCACCCTTCCTCTAGAAGATTCTTACATCTCATTCACGTCTAAGCTGGTACCTCCTCAGAAGCCACTCTGATTTCACAGTTTAAGTTCAGGTTCTTCTGGTATCTTTGAGACACTATTCTTTTATTTGTTACAGTTAGGAAGAATATAATAGTA